ATATATATATATATATATATTCATATATTCGTTTAATAAGGACGCTACAGCTCAGACAGCTGACTGATGGCGGTGTAAAGGGGTAAATGCTATGTTTATATAGAAGCATTCCTGTGTGTATAGATGGCGGTGTAAAGGGGTAAATACTATGTTTATATAGAAGCATTCCTGTGTGTATAGATGGCGGTGTAAAGGGGTAAATACTATGTTTATATAGAAGCATTCCTGTGTGTATAGATGGCGGTGTAAAGGGGTAAATGCTATGTTTATATAGAAGCATTCCTGTGTGTATAGATGGCGGTGTAAAGGGGTAAATGCTATGTTTATATAGAAGCATTCCTGTGTGTATAGATGGCGGTGTAAAGGGGTAAATGCTATGTTTATATAGAAGCATTCCTGTGTGTATAGATGGCGGTGTAAAGGGGTAAATGCTATGTTTATATAGAAGCATTCCTGTGTGTATAGGTGGCGGTGTAAAGGGGTAAATACTATTTTATATGTAAACATTCCTGTGTGTACCTTGGCAAAACTGGCAGTAAACGAGGCTGGCGGTGCAATGAGGCCGAGGTCCGATGGTATGTATATAAAACTTTTACCACATGATGTATATATTATGTTGTAAAAATTTGATACAAATCGTTGCAGGCAGTCAAAAGTTATCTGCCACAAACTGTGGTGTTTTTGAATAAGGCAACGAGCTATAGATGCCAGCCTGTCATGGGTGCTGTTGTGGTGTTTTTGAATAAGGCAACGAGCTATAGATGCCAGCCTGTCATGGGTGCTGTTGTGATGTTTTTGAATAAGGCAACGAGCTATAGATGCCAGCCTGTCATGGGTGCTGTTGTGATGTTTTTGAATAAGGCAACGAGCTATAGATGCCAGCCTGTCATGGGTGCTGTTGTGGTTTTTTTCTTCCAGAGGTTCCGTTTTTGTGGCGACTTGGACTGTCCGGACTGGGTGCTGGCAGAAATAAACATTCTGTCGAAAGTTGTGAGTATAGCGTATAATATACACATTCTGTCAAAAGTTGTGAGTATAGCCTATAATGTACACATTCTGTCGATAGTTGTGAGTATGGCGTGTATACAAATTCTGTTGAAAGTTGTAAGTATAGCATATATTTGCACATTCTATACACATTCTGTTGTAAGTTGTGAATAAAGCGTGTATATATACACATTCTGTTGAAAGTTGTAAGTATAGCATAGATGTACACATTCTATACACATTCTGTTGAAAGTTGTGAATATAGCGTGTATAGAACACATTCTGTTGAAAGTTGTGATTATAGTGTATATACACGTTCTTTCGAAAGTTGTGAATATAGTGTGTACAGTATGTATTTTTTCTCTCCAAATTGAAATATCTTTGATGAAACTGCTGTACAATTTCAGTTGTCTCTATCTCGACATGATGCGTTGTCGACCATCGCTCTGTGTAGCCACAGATTATTTCCCCCTGGGACAAAGAAGCATTACCTCATCTCATACGCGGTATTCTGTCAAAAGTTATTACCTCATCTCATACGCGGTATTCTGTCAAAAGGCATTGCTTGACCATCAATGATTTATTTATAGAGGCACCAGCCATCCATGTCCAGGTGCTGTTTTAGCCTAAAGCATTGACTCATCTTATACGCGGTATTCTGTCAAAAGGTATTGCCTCATCTCAAACGCGGTATTCTGTCAAAAGTTATTACCTCATCTCATACACGGTATTCTGTGAAAAGTTATTACCTCATCTCATACACGGTATTCTGTGAAAAGTTATTACCTCATCTCATACACGGTATTCTGTCAAAAGTTATTGCCTCATGTTATACGCGGTATTCTGTCAAAAGCTATTACCTCATCTCATATGCGGTATTCTGTCAAAAGGCATTGCCTCATCTCATACGCGGTATTCTGTCAAAAGGCATTGCCTCATCTCATACGCGGTATTCTGTCAAAAGCTATTACCTCATCTCATACGCGGTATTCTGTCAAAAGTTATTACCTCATCTCATATGCGGTATTCTGTCAAAAGGCATTGCCTGACCATCAATGATTTATTTATAGAGGCACCAGCCATCCATGTCCAGGTGCTGTTTTAGCCTAAAGCATTGACTCATCTTATACGCGGTATTCTGTCAAAAGTTATTACCTCATCTTATACGCGGTATTCTGTCAAAAGTTATTACCTCATCTTATACGCGGTATTCTGTCAAAAGGTATTACCTCATCTCATACGCGGTATTCTGTCAAAAGGTATTGCCTCATCTCATACGCGGTATTCTGTCAAAAGGTATTGCCTCATGTTATACGCGGTATTCTGTCAAAAGTTATTTGTGTTGCGTGCATACACATACATTAATGTCGAAAGTTGTGAGTGAAGCACGCCAACGTACCAATAATTTTGTGTGTGATTCAACTACGGATGTGGAGTGTAAATCATGATTGTGTTGATTGTTTCCCCGGATTGTGTGCCCTGTGTGTGTGGCCAGACCTCGGTCAAGATGAAGCTGCTGTCAGTCCAGGTTCTCAAGGGCATGCTGGGAGCCGAGCTTGACGTAAGTTGACCACAGTTGACTCTAAAGAAATTTACGTAAGGTGACCACAGTTGACTGTCCGGAACTTGACGTAAGTTAACCACAGTTGACTTTATAGAAATTGACGTAAGTTGACCACAGTTGACTTTATAGAAATTGACGTAAGTTGACCACAGTTGACTTTATAGAAATTGACGTAAGTTGACCACAGTTGAC